CATCCCGGCGGCGGGAGGGAGGCGGAACGGTCCTGCTGCTTCGGGGAGGGGATTGGTGCTCGGCGTTGCCCCCGGCGCCCTTCGCCTTGGTTGCCGGCTCCTCCGGGCGCTGCCCATCGTCGTCGCTTTCTCCGGCCTCCGGGTCGCAGGTCGGGAACGGGACGGCTGGCGAGGCCGCCTGTGAAAAGTCCCGGACGAGGGTGGGAGTGCTGTTGTGCACGAGTAGCCTGCTCGGGGCGGCTTGCGAGACAGCTTCTCCCGGCGGGAAACGCCGACCACGTAAAGTCTTCCTAAAGGTGGGTCCCAGTACCCTTTTCCCTGAGCAACTCGTCCTCACGGACCTGGTTGCTGACAAGCCAAAAAGTCTCTTACTTTCCCGTTCCCCCTCTGGTCCCATTGAAAGGCGAAGGAAGGACAACATGTACTTTGCTAGGTTTCTCACTTGTGCGGACAAGTAAAATTCAGAGAGTAATATCGTGAAATCGGCGCCTTACTTTTCCATGTCAGATGAAATACTGGTAGTGACTCCCCCCCCCCCCCCGTGATTTAGCGGAGAGTAGTAAACTCTTTTTCCCCTTACTTTTGGTAATATGACTCGTTTTTTGTCATTTGGAGTGCTGCTGTTCTTTGGCACCTGCTAATATTGCATTTAAGCAGTTGATTTCATTGTTGTTTATTGAGTCTGACCCTTTGCAGATATTGTTGGCTTTAATGTTGGAAAAAGAAAATGGGCAATCATGTGATATTTTTTCCACAAGGGCTTATAAAACTGATGCTGTATTTTATTCCAGATCTGTAAACAGTGCAAGATTTTGAAAGCTGAAATTTTTCTAAAATGAACAGATACGATTATCTTCCTTTGTTAGATAGATTCTCTGTCGGTAGGGAAATGGTACTCGCCAAAGTGAGGTATTTTAAAGTTAACATTTAAGCCACTTCAAATGCTAAGAAAAGACTCCTCTTAAATATCCTAAGTATGAACCATTTATTCTTTTTCTGTTGTAGATATGTGGATTAAAACCAAAAAGCATTTTCAAGCCCTAAGATGTCGCAGCTATTTGAATTCTGAAAGCACTGTTATTTTTTTTCTGAATTGCTCGTAACTTTTATTTTTTATTTTTCTGTTCCCATTTCACATCTAAATGCGTAGCATATTTAACTTACTAGGAAACGTGTACGCATAGTTAACCGTGATCAGAAATAATTATTCAGTTTATAATACAGTGCACTAAGATTGCGGTATCTTAACACATTACAGTTATATTATCTGTTGTTATCTATTATGTTCCGTTATCTATTGATAACAGCATCAGCTGCTTTGAGTGGTTGTTTCTTAATGCTTCACAAAGCAAGCTTGAAGACTTGTGTGTGGAAAGAATTTATAACCTTTTAAACTGTTCTTAACCAGGCTAGTTGCAGAATGGATGGCAACTCCTCCTGAAAACTTTTGTGGGTTGTGTGTGTGGAGAATGCTTTAGTGTCTGAAAGAACGTGAACAATCACAATATGAGTAGTATGCCATTATTTCTACGGTACAAGACTTCTTAAAAAGCAAGATTCGTGTATTTTTCATGTATAATGCTATACTGATGGTGGTTTCCTTTTTTACAGAACCATACAACATGTCTTCTGTTTCATCTAAAGAAGATACAATGTCATCTGAAAAAGCAGATGAGAAACAACCTGAAACTGAAAACAAAGCTGAGGAAAGTGATGAAGATGAAGAAGAAGAAGAGGAGGAGGAAGAAAAAGGTACTTGTTTTTGCACTGAATAAGTTGCCCTTTAAAAAATGCCAAGCTTACTGCACGCAGTCTGCTGTGATCTCAGCTAATTGTACAATTATTGTTTAGGAGATTCCATAGTACATCTATCTCATGGGTCATAAATTGCTGCCTAGCAGACTATAACAGGCAGCACTAGAAACAGCGATGCTGATTTTCCTCAGGGAAGACTGAAGGAATTGCCAGCATCCTGGATTCCTCTGCTAGTGGGTTTTGTTCTTGTTGTATAACTTCTAGATTATTGTAAGAGGTAGTGTCCTTTATCAAATTATTTGTTTGAAAATACATATTCAGAAAAGGATTATTTTTTGCCAGTAATGCTCTGAAGTATTCCATGTTTGTAAAAGAGAGAAACTTAAAAATTCTTTGCTCTGGCTTCGGAAGCAATATAGATGTCTTTGCTTAACTACAATTATTTAATTTAGTGAGTACTAAAATTTAATTACGTTGGAGAGATATTCCGTTTGACTAATTTTGTCAATAAGTGTCATTGATATCATAGGACGGGCAAGCAAGGCAGGTTGTGTGCTGTGGCACGTAACTGAAGAGGGTAGTCAAGGAATACAAGATGTGATGAAGGAACTATTGTGCAAAACTGTTAATTTCCAGCATGAAATCTCTGGGCACCTGTTTCACAAATGAAAGCATCCATGGAAACAGAACTGCAGTATCGCCCAGTGAAAACTAAGTCACTAATGGTCTTGGCTTCATAAAAGAGCTGAAGTTTGTACAAAAGGTAGTAGAAAGGAAGGAGATTGTGCTGTTTGGGAAGCAATAGAGTAATTAGAATTAGATTTCTAGAAACAGCTGTTTTTTTTATACACACAAGTTATGTTCCACTCTGTTTTCAGTGGATATATACCCAGTTCTGATGATGTTCATACAGATTTTTGAAGCTGCTTTCAGATGTTTAATCCAGGATAGCCCATCTGTTTAGCCCTAAAGACAGTTTGGTTTGAAGTAAATATTTTAGTATGAAATGTTCAGGTGAAGCTTTGGGTTCTCCTGACATGGTGTCATTGAAGTGGTGATGTGCAAAGTATACATAAAACAATCCAAATGTAGTCATTCCTAAGCAGTACAAGAATTACTGGTAGTAATATTCTTGTAGTATTTGTGACAGAGTGCTGAACTGCGTAGCCCTGTGAGGTGTAGTACAGTCCCACTTGTTTTGTAGTACAGTGCTTGTGCTTCTGCCTCTTCTGCTGATATGTGTGGGTCCTCCAGCCCAGTAGTGGGAAGAGAAAATGTCTGCAGGCATGCTGGGCTCTCCTTCTGCCCATCTCGTGGTAGTATTCTCCTGGAGAGAGCTAAAGTGGAGCCGTGCGTATAGGGGCTGCAGTGTCCAAGAAGGAGACCGTGCCAACAGTGTCAGTTCCACACCTCAGAAAGGCAGTGAAGGGAGAAAAGGATGGGCTGCTGAAAATGTGCAGTGCTGCAGCCTCCACTGTGGGCTGAAGATCCCTTTAGGAAATGCCCAGTCTGGTCTTCAAGGTTAGATTGGATACAGGATTGTGGTTAAGAACTAGAGACTCCTCTAGTTGCATATATACGGCTTCATAGAATCCCATTGACCTCTTAGCTGAAGGTTGGAAAGTGCCGTAGCACCTGGTTATACAATTATCCATTTCTGGTTTGTTGTTTCAGAGATTTAGTGTTGTATTGCCTGTTGCTGCAGTAGAATCTGCTCATGTAGTGAAAAATAATATGTTTAAGGCAGCTGTCTTTTGCAGAAAAGAGTCTAATTGTTGAGGGAAAAAGGGAGAAGAAGAAGGTAGACCGACTGACCATGCAAGTGTCCTCATTGCAAAAGGAACCTTTTACGATTACACCAGGTAAGCTTGTCCTCTTGCATAAGAATTGTGAGTGTTGGGAATGATAATGAAACCTCTTAAAAGATCAAATTTGGTGAAGATGAGACCAAATTTAAGAGTCGTGATCCATTTTAAAACAGTAAGCCTATTATAGTTATATGGAAACCCTCTTCTATTCTGTAGCATCCATTTAAATCATAAAAGTGATATAATGTTTAGACTTAACCTGGAATAGGGTCTTCAGTAGCTAACAAAGGCAGGAGCAGCTAGAATAAAAAGAAATGCCAAGTCCTTCCATCTAGGTAGTATCAAGGAAGGAAGATAAAGAGACCGTCAGGATACCTAGTTTATAGGAAAAGGCCTGGTTAATGTTGGACCTATTATAATGTCTAATGCTATGCTGAAATAACTTTGCTTTTTTAAAAAAACAGTAGTTAGTTGAAGTTATAGACACATAGGTGAATACAGATGTGATGAATAGCATAATTGATTTTAACTGTTTCAGGAAAAGGACAAAAACTCTGTGAAATTGAAAGGATACAGTTCTTTCTGAGTAAAAAGAAGACAGACGAACTTAGGAACCTGCACAAACTCCTCTACAACAGGCCAGGCACTGTAAGACCTTAAAATCAATCTTGTGTATCTATTAGTTCTCATGCGTAGTGACAATGTTTGTAGTATAGGTTTTTTTACATTTGTACGTGTGGCTCTACTACTTCAGTGTCATTTATTACAAACTACTTAGTGAATATTGCAGGACCAGTTAAGCAAGCCCATAAATTTTTCTAACTCCCTATAAAAATCCTACAGAAAGGTGTACTGAATTGTAAGGCTGCTTGAATATGGGTTTGGGGTTTAAATTTTTTTGTTTTTAGGGGGAGAGGGGTGGTTTTCCTTATGAGGACGAGTTGGAAATCATTTATGTTTCACGTGCTAAAAGCTTCTGACATGATGCAGATCATAGTCAAAATACTCCACATAGTTGTTTTGTTCAACATAGCTCTTTCTTAATACTTCTGTTTCTTTTATGTTTGAAACCTGGTAGTGGGTTTTAATACATTGCTGCTTACCTAGTCATTTTCTCCTTTAGTTTGCGCAAAGCAGTAGAAAGTAAAACTACGTTATACGTAAAATCTTAATAGTGACTTTTGTCACATTTATCTAAAACAGTTAAAATACTAGTTAAAAACTGCTATGCTCGCTTTTGTATTTAAGGATGAAACTTAAAGAAAATATAATAACAAATCTTTCTTGAAGTCTTTCATGTATCAGTGATTGCGCCTTAAAATTTCAGAGTAAATACGACCTGCTTTCCTTTCTAATAGAGGTAGAATGGATGTAGTGAAATTTGGCAGATTGAATTTCACTATTTCAATTCACTTATCATATTTATAGGAGTTTGGTTTTAATCTCTTTGTGTATTTTGGAAACTTGAACAGCTAGTGCAGAAACCAGGAACTGAATGGTACTGGATGCATGCTAGCTGTAGTATCTCAGACCTCTGCAAATGCAATGCTTGTTTAAATAGCAAAGAAAGATCTGTTGCCTCAAGTATTCAGAAAAAGAACAGTATATATTCGATAAAACCTGCTTCTGTGAAATGTGCAGTTTATTCAGTATGGTGATAAACCAGACTAGAAAATTTCTGACTCTGTGCATGTAGAGTTTTACGAACTTTTGCGTTGACCTGCAATAGAATTTAGTTGTTTGATAGGAGAGGTACAATGACAGAACCGTGTAACTTTCTGATTTAACTGGATTTACTGTGGAAGTCGTCAAACAGCATCCATTTGCCCTTCATGAAACAGTAACACTTTTCTACTGTCTTTGGGTGGAGGTACTGGGATACCATTACCTCAGTCCATCTTTCCCACTTGGGATTGCAGGTCTGAGGTATAATTGATTTAAGGGACTCTGTTTATTGATTATGCAACACACTACTAAGGATCTAACAACTCCATGATTTAGTGATCAATAATAAATAATCTAATCTACTAATACACGCAACTGTTTGCAGTTTCATATGATATAATTGTAAATTGATTCTTAACGCTCCTAAAGCATACTTTAGCCCTCCCACCAATTATTTGGTTGCAATTCCACCCCCCTTTTGCTCTGCCCTCCCATATTTAGTCTTTTGGACATAGACTTGTTGGAAAGTCCAGGTGGATTGGTGCAGTGTCCCAATAGTTTGAGTCCAAAGATATGAGAATATGTTTATTTGCTCAGAAGTGTATCGGTATGGTTTCATCCAAAACTACATTTAATCAGAATTGTAGGGAACTCGGGATGCAGTTTAATACAGTGAAGATCAGATGTTGTCTTGTATGCATGTTCTGTGTGTGCTTTGGATCGTAATTAACGTTTTTAATAGAAATACAATACCATCTGCAAATTTCCTCTAGGTGCTGGATAAAGATAATTCTCTTTGGAAAAGGAGCTTAGTTTTGATAAAATTATAAACTAGTGGAGAAACTCCAGGAACAAAATTTGTAAAACTATTGAAAGTGAGTTCAAATTATTCTTGATAGTGTTAAAAAGATCTCAGAAGAATGAAAGATTTGGGGATGTTTTTTAACTTCTTTTTTGGTGAAAGGAGGTGGAGTGAAAACAAAGAACTGAATAAATTTGGGATCTTGATGGGAGCAGTTTTCCCATTACAAGTGCTGTGGTGATGAAAGCTCCACCCTGTTCAGGTGGCAGGTATGGTGGTAGCTGTAAATTGGGTGGTGTGTAAATGCAAAAATTGATCACGCTAAAGAAAAGGTTCAAAAGTACAGTTGTGGTCCTGTGTAAGACTTTAGAAAAACAAGTAAAGCAAATCTGCTTTAGCAGATTATATAGTAAAAATAAAATTCGCTATTCTGTAACAAACCTCATGGTACAAAGCATACAACGGGCTTCATGTGATCGTAGTTGCACAAACCTGCAAATAATCATGCAGTGTGTTCTAGACAAGCCTGAAATGGCAGGTGATTTTACAGAGTAAGTTATTAAAAGTACCAAGATCACAAGAACTGAATTGTTGCAGTTTGGCTGTCATGAGATCCATAAAGGCATGATCCATATAGGTTGTAACTTACAGGGTATAACTTTTTGTCAATGGAAAGCTAAATGCTAGAATAGATTTTTCATGGATGAAAAGTTAACAAATGTAACTGGATGAAAACTACTTGCAACGGAAAGTTATCTGTGTGTTCTGTTCTAGGTTGCCTCCCTAAAGAAGAATGTGGGTCAGTTCAGTGGGTTCCCATTTGAAAAAGGAAGTGACCAGTACAAAAAGAAGGAAGAAATGTTAAAAAAGTAATTGTCTCCATTGCTACTTAACATAGCTTCACTCACAGTATAACACTCCATTTTATTTTCAAAATGTTACTTGAGATTAAATGTAAGCAGAATGGCTGCTTTCTAGACCTCTGTGATCTGATTCTGAGCTCATTTTAATCAAACCGGTCTCTCATAACAACTTGAAACATACTAAGAAGAGTTAAATTTTGAACATTTTATTTACAATTCCTGGTCTTGGATTTAACTATTGCATGCTGACTAGCAGATACCTCTGTCAAGTGAGAGGAAAAACATTATTTCCCCAGGGCAAGCACAGTATTGTGAATACTTTGTGCTCTATTCATGATGCAAACTTGCATCCTTCTGTGCCTCAAAACCTTCCTCCTTCAGAATCAAAGCCATTTTTCTTATTGTGTATTAAACATACAGTCTGACTCCTATTCCTACAGTTGCTGTAGCAACTAGTCCAACAAATCTTTCTTTTTTTTTTTTTCCTTTTTTACTGTCTCCCCACATAAGCTGCTTCTCTATTAACAGAAGTTGTGCAGCTTGGTTTTGACTGGCCTCAAAGGGTTTAAAAATGTTGTTGCATGTTTGTGCAGCTAGTTGTAACAAATGAAAGAACTAATAACTTCTACACAATTGATTTTAAATCTTTTTTTTTTTTGATGTCAGTTTGTTGGCAGTGGGAAGGCTTCCAGAATCTAGAACTTGCAAATATTCCTTCCTCAGATACACAGCTTTCTAGGAGTAGAGTTTGTCAAATACATCCTTATCTGCAAGACAAACTCTGTCTCAGGATGAGTTTTGACCATTTCCCACTAGTTTAATTGAATAATGTTTCCCCTTATCTGCGAAAGGTCACAAAATAAAGTGGTTTTGCACATTTTTTTCATATTTCCCATATGAAAGAACTGCTAGTTAAGTTTTTTTACCCTTCAGTTTTCAGCAAATAAAAAAAATAACCAAACTGAAAACTGGTTGCGTTGTCACTCATACCAAGGTAGAGCCCGGTGTGTTTGTGTTAGTGTGGTTAGTTCTGCTACTGTTCATAGCTGCGTATGAAACACTGCTGATAGGATTATTAATTTATTCTGACTCTGTGGTTGATTTCTGCCCACGCTGTACACTTGTCGTCATGTTTTAACAGCATTGACCAAGGTGAACAAAGGACAAAACTCAATTTGCAGAATTTTACTGTTCAGTTTATAAACTAAGAAGGAGGGTTGAGATTGCTGTGTGCGTTAGAGTTCTTGGACTTGCTACATCAGAACTACTTGCTATGGAAGGTACTGACTCAAAACTTGTGTGCACTTGTTATTCCACACTTGAACTGCGTTTTAATACTTTGGACATTGTTTGCTGTTACCTGCAGATGTACCTTCATAGCATTAAAAATATGAAAGGATTTGGGAGGTGATTCTTTATCTATATTTGTTCTAACCTAAGTTAAAATACAAGGACAAATTCCACATATAACACAAGTCATAAAGAGTTTTAGTTAAGGTAGCACTAGAACCGTGAAATCCTAAGTTCAGTATACAAGGTTTTGAAAGCCTGAAACAGAAACTTTGATGCTATGCAGTTTTTAAACCTGTTAAGTGGTTTTAACTCTATGGTATTATTGTCTCTTAAAATACGAGAGACTGACTTTTGATTCTGCAGGAATACTTTACAAATACTCAGTATATCCCCAAAAGCTAAACAGGAAGGCTTCCTGCATGTTAAGATTGCACACATTTTTATAACATTGTCCAGAAAAATGATTGAAGGATTTTACTTCATCATTGGAAGGATGGTGGATGAACTGTACTTTGAGGCAGGGAGATGTGCTGAGCCAGTTAAGATTTTCTGTTCCAGTGCCCTAAAATATGGGAGCACAAAATTGTTCTGCCCCCTTAGAAATCTCTGAGTTTAAAGGGACAGTGAAATTAAATGCTACTTTAGAGAAGTTGTAGGCTGCCATGAAATAGTTGCACTGACTTTTTAAATAAACAGTGAAAAGTAAGTTTCCTTTGACTTTGATTACCAGAAATATGTTATTAGACTTGTGAAAAATGGTTCGACAAGGAATCCACTTTTCAGGCAGCATTGTACAAAATGGGTGAAGAGGAAAGTTGTAAGCATTTGAAGGGAGGTGACAGGTAGAGTAAGTTGGGTATTTGTTTTGTGTGTTAAATCTCATTAAGCTTGCGTTCTGATGTCACACCCTCACAGGATTTGACACTTTCCACTTTTTTCAGTACTGGTCAGACAAAGGATAAAGTGGGACAATTGGTCCAAGATCCTTTCAGATTAAAGGGGGTGGATGTCAAAGTTTCTCTTAACCTTCTGTCTTCATCAGAGGTACTTCCATAAAGGGGTAAGGAGCCAGAGAAAATAAAGGGAGACACCCCCCAACCCGCCCCCTTAGAGTTCAAGTCTTGTACCCACTGGATTTAGTTTCCAAGATTGATTCTTTCCGATGTGTAGATTAGGAGACATTCTGGGGAAGATTTTTTATTTTTGCTAAGATTTTCTGACATTTTGTATATCCTGCTTTACATACGCGTGGATTTGGGAATTTTGTTTTATTTTGCTTTATGTAATGTGGTGATGGTTCTTGCTTAACTATAGATAAGACTGGAAACGTAGTTAAGTGTATATATTCATGTCTCTTGTCAGGGTGCAAACAGAAACCAGATAGCAGCTTCCAGCAGTCAAATGCTGACTGATTGTTTAGGATGTGACACTGAATCTTCTTTTTTTTCTTTTTTTTTTTTTTTTCCCTCCCCTTGTCAGGTTTAGAAATGCAATGTTGAAAAGTATCTGTGAAGTTCTTGACTTGGAAAGATCTGGAGTTAATAGTGAGCTCGTAACCAGAATCTTGAACTTCTTAATGCACCCAAAATCTTCAGGCAAGGTGAGATGCAGATTATTTATGCTTGCTTTTATAGCTCTGTTCTGCTGGAAAATGCAGTTGTGTCTATTGCTTATTATTTGCTTGTTACCAGTGGCGATATGATTGCTGTTGTAACTTACTGAAGTAGCGATGTCTTCTTGAAAGACAGTAGCTCTTCTCCTGCAGGCATCCATAACGGGGTGAGGACTTGGGTAGAAACCCTAAGCTTACGTATAAGCGTGCCTGTTACACACCTAGCGCACAGAAGCGTCTGTGGTCAACACGTGAAGCTGATTAGAGATATCCATACCCAAATACCAGAGGTAGCTTCTGCTTTGTGGCTGAATGGAGGGGAATGGGCATAATATGTGAGCAAGAAAGAAAAAGAGAAAAGGTGTTAGAGCAAGGAAATAAAGCATGAAATAAGCTGTCAGATGTTACCTGGGTATGCTATAAGTTGGCAAGTGTGTGTGAAATCACATTTGGTCATTGCAAAATGGGACTTGTTGAAAGGCTAGGAAAGCTTGCTTTAACTAGTATATGCTAGTGCATTAAATTCAGCTGCCAAGACTAGGAAACTATTATTAGTCTTCTTGGACCTTCAGTTTTTAATCTAAAAGCAATACTTAAATAGTTAGGCTGTTGCTCAGGAAATTAAATTTATTCCCGGCAAACACTGGTAAGTGACTTGAACAAGGGTTCTGCGTGCTGCCTTAGGGACACTGATACCGAGTGACAACAAAATGCAGTTTTGCATAAGACACGACAGAATTCCTGTCTTTAAGTTTTCTGAAGAGTTGTCAGCTAATTTGTTACCAGAAGTAAAAGCTTGCTTTTATGGGCCGGGAGGACATAAGTAGGTAAAAGGTTCCTACTAGATTGTTCTTTCTTGCTTCCCTTCCCTCAACCTTTGAAGATTTGTTTGGTTAGGGGAGTGGAAGGGGTACTTAGCTTAGAACTGAAATTGCGTTTTACTCTGTAAGTGGATTTCTGCTTACTGCAAATGTTATGGCTTAAGTGTAGTACAGAAAATAGTCCTGGGTTTTGTTACCAAGTCTTAGAGAGCTCTATGTTTGTTTACTGTTCTTTCGTGTGATTTGAAGGAATTGATAATTTCAAAATTCACTTTTGTATTCCTGCTTGGATGACACACATCCCCTTCTCTCAGCCATTGCCAAAGTCCAAAAAAACGCCAAGCAAAGGTGGCAAAAAAGAACGCAGTAGCGCCGGAACAACAAGAAAAGCAAAACGCACCAAGTGCCCAGAGATCTTGTCAGATGAATCCAGTAGTGAAGAAGACAAAAAGAAGGAAAAGGATGACTCTTCAGAAGAAAAGGAAAGTGAAGATGAGGTAATGAGGATTTTTGTTTGTTTTTCAGCATGGGGCTAAAAACATTCGTCTGCAATTTGTCATTATGTGGTTGTTATCGATGGGTAATTCTCGGAACAGGCAGAGTTGGAGGTAAGTGGTATTTAAGTGGATGAATGGTTTGAAAGAAAAGGGAACACATCTGCAGTTTCTAAGAGATTTTCATAATTTCTTAGTGCATTAAAGTTAGAGAATCAATAAGATAAAAGGCAAAGATTCTGATTCTTGAATGTATATATGCACCTTATAAATCCACTTGATACATGTCATTTTGGGGCAGCCAGGATTTCAAACATAATTGATTGCATATCTTGTATCATCTTATGATGACTTTATTGTAATTTCATAAAAATTCCCTCTATCTATCTGTCTTTTTTTCCCTGTATAGTGTTTGATTGGATACCTAGAACTTAACTTTGAATTCAGTAGAAGTCCCTGACTTACCGGGCTGCATTGGTTTTTGATCTTGGTTCCATATTTCTCCTGGATTTTATGCCCTAACCTCTCTTTTAGGGTTCCGTGTCTTGGATCACAAGGTTAAAGCAAGCAACATAGTCAGCAGCCTTACAGAGATCCCTGCGATCTCCAAAGTGATCTCATCTCACTGTACTTTCTGTTCTTCTCTGTTTTCTTTGAAGCTTCTTTTAGACTTGCGTAGTAGGAGAGAAATGACATGAACTTTTGTATTTAAGTTCAAGATACCTTTCCCTGTACATTCCCTTTCAGCCCTGTACTTAGTCACGGAACAGACATGAAACATTCAGGGCCAGTACAAGTGTACAGCTGATTTGTGTACAAAGTGTACGCTGATTTGTCCATCTACCTGAAGCCTAGGAAAAAAATTAGAAGGAGCTGCAGGCTGCATCTTATCCTATATTTTGATTTAGATGGGACTGCCTTTTTAGCCTTAATCACAGCCCTGCAACAAACAGCAGTTAGTTGACTGTTGGATGTCCAAGAAAATTCTTTATGTGAGCTATGGGACCTTTGGCTGTAATGTAAGATCATTTTTTACTTGGGTTACATTCTGTCTGTTGCAGTGTAAGTGTGACAGGCTGTTAAGTAAGTAGCCTGAGCTATAGAAAATAGTCTCCAAAATCTTGTTGAAAGGCCAATCTATGTAAATTTAACAATTTGGTTTGTGACTGTCATTTTGATAGGTGTTGGTTTTAATTTAAAAAGATGATTCAAGGAAATTTTCCCTATGCCTCCGTGAAACTTAATTCCTATTTTGCCTTTTTCTTTCCCCACAAATGGCAAATTGAAAGATGGCTGAAATACTGAAAGTTAATTTTTATATTTGTTCTTCCTCTCTTCAGCAAAACAGTCTTCCTACTGTGAGGAGAGGAATATCGCCTTCAGGTTTACTTACAGAAAATTTTTCAAGAGCTCAGTTAATAAAAAAAAAAAAAAACAATAAAAAAATCCAACAAACAAAAAAAATCCCTCACAGTAAGCCACTTTGATCTAACTGGTCTTTGCCTTCTTTCAGAAGGTAGGAGTTACATATGTCTGCCAGACAATAGCAAAGGAGATTGAAGTCTTCAGAAACTGAAGTTGACTTGCATGGAGTAAAAGCTTAATTATTACAAAAACACTAGTATGTCAAATTAGTTCGAATATTAGGAAATGGTGAAATGGAAAATGTCTGCGTTTGTACAGCTTTAAGATTGCAGCACTTAAAAAATAATTTAGGTTTATTAGTCTGATTTATTAAATACTGCTTTCATGAGTTGCACCGAGTACTAATGGGTGCAATATAACTAAACGTTCTATGAACGAATCTTAATTGTTTAGATGTGACTGTTTGCTCAGTTGACTATGCTGCCGTTTTAAATATAAATTAGAATTATGAATTCAGTAGTTCCTGTTACTTAGTTTGTTTTGTTTCATGATGTTCTTTCTCTGAAGTATGGTTTATTCCTGGTCAGTGTTCCATGTTTCTGCGAGGAAAGCTTTCAGCCTTGTCAGAAGTACTGTCTAAAGATTTTGTGTGTTAAGCACACATTTAATTTGTGCCAAAAATGCAGTGCAGTGATATGTGTATACTGTCTGTATTTATGTTCCCAGTTTCTTCTGTTGATGATAATTTATTGCATTAAATTTGGGGATTTACTGGTCACCATAGTTGGCCAAATTACAGGTTAGCTAATGTAGTTTCTCCTCAACTAGTGCAAAAAAAATTAGCTGCATGTAGTCTTAGAGAGCTATAGCATCTAGAAGTAGTTGAACACAACGTACCATGTCCTTTTTTAAAGGAACATCTTTGAAGTGATTTTATAAGCTAATTATAAGTAATTATGAATGGAAGGTTGTAGCACAACCAAACTACTAGTATCATCAAAAAGTTCTAGCTGTTTGAGAGTCCCATGTAGAAGGACAATGTGAAATTTAAAGGAATATGGGAATACTTTGTGGACATGTCCCCCCCATGGTATAGGGGTAGAAGTGCTAGTAAAATGGCGTAATTAAATCTGCTGATGTAGTTTGTATTGACAGAAAGGATCGTGTCCATTGTGGAAAAGAGGTGCGGGTTGTTTGGGTAAAAACCATCATTTTAATCTTCTATTTTTCTTCTTTATAGCCTCCTAGAAAAGCATCTAAAAGAGAAAAATCTAAAAAGGTTACCTCCAAAGCGAAGAAACCTGTGAAGGGTACAAATGTTAAGAAGGCAGATAGCAGCACTACTAAAAAAAATCAGAACAGTTCTAGAAAAGGTAAATGCTTTAAATCTTTCATCATACATTATGTTGCACCTTAACTGGTATGCTTGTTGGAAAGCAAGCTTTGCAGCTAATTGTGAAAAAACGTAGAAATTGGTGAATTGTTGGCTTGCTACTTGATGTTTCTTTCCTTACAACAGTAATTAGAAAAAAAATTTTGCTTTGGGTATACTTCATGTAATTTCTGTTGTGTACATATATATAACTTTTTTATTTGCATATAGGCTGAAAGTATCAGCCTAGTTTTCCCTTCTGCTGGAAGAACATTAGCAAAATTATGTTAGTGACTTCACGTTAATTTTTTATAATTGATCCAATAATACGTGTCCCACTGTGTATGTCCTTTGTTCAGCAGCTTGATGTGTTTTTTGTTAACATGGATATGAGTTCTACATGCATCCTGTTGCTATTGGTTTTCTCATATCTGACAATACTCATAAAAGATATATATACATTGAGTTATAATATGTTAATACTTGTGTAAAGATGTCAGCAGTGCAGGCGGAGACAGACTGGTTTCTGTCTAAGCAGCTTTGCAGAGAAGGACCTAGGCAGGGGCAGGTGGTTCTGCAGACAAGGAGTTGAGCCCAGTTCAGCAGTGTGCCCGTGTGACAAGGGGCAGCGGCAGCACTCTGGGCTCTTCCAGCAAGCGTGCGGGAAGTGATCATTGCCCCCTGTTCAGCACTCATGAGCCTGCCTCGGGGTGCTGTGCCCAGCTTTGGGCTCCTGGGGCTAGACAGGCATTGACATACTGGAGCAAGTCCAGTGGAGGGGCACTGGGATGGCCAGGGGGCTGGAGCCACGGCTGTAGGGGGGGAGGCAGAGCCAGCTGGGCTTGTTCAGCCTTAAGAAGAGACGGGTAAAGGGGGTTCATGCTGCAGTCTGCAGCTACCAAATGGGGAAGGCAGGGCCAGGCTCTGCTTGGAGGTGTGTTGTGAGAGGGTGGGAGGCAACAGGCACGAGCTGCCACCAGGGAAATTGCAGTTAGGTGTTCAGGAAAGAAAAGCTTCCCCATGAGGGTGGTCACACAGAAACGGGGCCTAGAGCAGTTGTGAAATCCTTGTTGTTGATGTTCAGAACTCAGCTGGCAGGGCCCGAGCACCCCTGTTGGCCCTGTTCCAAGTGGTAGCTTAAACAGATGATCTCTAGAGGTCCCTCCCTTCCCACCTTAAATGCTCTGGCACTCTGAGATAACAGCCATGTCTCTGTCAGAATTGTATGAGTTGTTAATGCAGCATACATCCAAACTGCAAACATGCTTCATTTAATACCAGCATTGGCTTGTGTATACTATAGCACAGACATCAGTTCAGATTAATTGCCCTGCTTGTCAAGAGTATTAAGAAAAGGAATGCTTGAACTCTTAGACATAGAATTATGCTAAACTTCTTTCATAGCTTTATTTCTCAGCAGAGTAAACTGGCCTGTGCTAAACTCATTGTACTTTCAGATTGGCTGCTGGCAGTACTAATGTGGCTATGTGTGTGTCTGCTTCATTTTGCCATCAACACATACAGATATCTGTCTAAAAATACATGTTAGGTATGTGTTTAGCATATATGCTGTGTAATATAGTAATAATTTCTTCTTTACTCCTGTGTTTCTGTTTTGAGTGTATGTTTGCAGTACAAAAATCAAAATGTTCCGTAGGTCTTTCTATAAGCCCATTATCTAGATCGTTTGGCATCTGCTCTGAATTTTGTCTTGTTGGCAGTAGAGGAACTGAGTGGATGTTGGAGTCATTCAGTCCATTTTTTTTGCTGCTGGAAAAGATTGTAGGAGTGTCTCGTGCCTCTTCAACGGTTCATTTGTTGTCATGGTGTTTCTGATAGCAAGTTCAGTAATAGAGCATTGCAAAATTACAAGATCCTAGTGCACAGCACTGCTGGGGAAAAAAAAATATCCAAACTCCTTTTTAAAGCAAATAAGTCCTTTTTTCTTTTTTTAGGGCCATAATACCTCCATTTAGAATTGTTGTAATAAACCTTTTTTTTTTAGTTTGATAGATTAGTCTGTTCCATACTTTCTAGAGTAGATATTGATTTTTAAACTGATAGTTCATCAACAATGATGTGGATTTGTAAATAAATGTAGTACTGATAGCATTAGCTTTGTCTTTAAATGGATGCTTTGGCAAGATATCTGTTCTAAGAGAGAACATCTGCATCAGCTGTTTGGGGAAAGTTCTGATGGCTTCTGGTTTGGAGGAAGAAAGCAAAGTGAAAGTCTTTTATTACAATTCGAATTATTCTTCATATTTAGAAAGTGAGTCTGAGGATAGTTCAGATGATGAACCTTTAATTAAAAAGCTGAAGAAACCACCCACAGATGAAGAACTGAAGGAAACTGTCAAGAACTTGTTGGCCAATGCAAACTTGGAGGAGGTCACAATGAAACAAATTTGCAAGGAGGTAAGCAAATACAGTTTTGCAATCTCTTTTTAGGCAGTGGGTTGTCTGTGAACTGACTTGGGTCATCGTTTCAGCAGTGGAGGCTTGCACTCTGCACAGTGGTTCGAAAACAAGGTAGTTTTTGCCAACAGCTATAACAAGGATCTTAAGATACGCAACACTGCTACCCAACATTAGAAAGGAAATCTCCAAAGAAAAAGTAGCTATGTGGAAAGTAGCAGTATTACCTCCAAAACAGCTGCCATGTATTGAAGTGAAAATATTTGAGATGTTGAGACAGTGCGCAGCTTGCTACTGTCAAAAGGGGAGGGCTGTGTCCCACTCCCCGTACATTTCTCCTGCTCACCTTGCTCTTCATATGTTCTCTTTATGAGTGCATTCAACTCTCATCTATCAGCAAAAAATGAGTAGTTCTTAGCTGTTACTGAGTTGAATTAGTTCAGCAAGGGGATCCATTAATTGTCAGGAAGGGACCATGTGGCTGGAAAAGGGAAAGGTGGGGAAAAATGACCAAAACACAGACAATTCTGTAGCTGTGACGTTTTCTACAGTCAGTTAACTCACGTATTTGTTTTCCTGGTACTTCCAAGAACTCATATGGAGAAAATTAAACCAGAAGTTATTCTTATGAGAAAACCGTGTGTTTATATTCTGTACAAACTTTTTGTCATGTTTATAGTCATTCTGGAAGTCTGAAATTTGGCATATTGAAATAAAATACTCTGCAATGGTTGTCAGTGTTGGCATCTGTTTTTTGTTTGTTTGGTCCTCTCCCACCCAGTTAACCAAAGAACAGTTCTTGAAGAGCACTCAAATATGTTGACTCTGGTATTAGTCACTTGAAAGGATCTCAGTTTTACTTATTACCAAAAAATAAGCAAGTCTTGGAATTTGGTATTTGTTTAGCTTCCTGCAGTAATGCAGGGGTATCTGACTGCTTAGAGAACATGTAAGGCAAAGCTTAGAGAATTCTTATTTGCCTGACATGACAAGCTAGGCGTTTCAGTTTGGTTTATGTGGTCAAAATGAGCTTGTCACTTTCTGTAATTAACAGAGGGCTTTTGCGCAGTTGTAATGCTGGAAGTACCTCACCAATTTGTGCCCTAACTTCATTTAAGTTCCTTCTAATCATACAATACATTGAATGAAAGTAATTTGAAGTTTGTTTTATTTTTTTACCTTTTTTTTTAGGTGTATGAAAACTATCCTAGTTATGATTTATCTGACAGGAAAGACTTCATTAAAAAAACAGTCAAAGAGGTAAAGACTTTATAATTTAGAAAACATTCTGGGTTGGGTTTTTATTTCTTCTGCCTATTAGACAGTGGCATGGCATCCTGTTACATGAGTTCTAATAGCCTCCTGTGTAGTATTGGAAGTTTAGTGCTCTGATAAACCTGAACTCTGGCTCTGATTATTTTTTTATTATTTTGTATCCCTCTTTCAAAAATAACTGCTTCAGACTCTATTTTCTTAGCATGCCACTACTACTTTTACGAATTTCTTTGGTAAGCAGAACTAAAATTAAAGCTATCGTAACTTTTGATGACTTTTACTCTCTGAAAGCTATGCATTTGCTTTAAATTACAGCCTTGGCTGCAAGGTGCACTGTAAGTGATGCACTGACCACATATGTTCATAGGTAACAGTGCATGAGGCTGTTTAAGCTCTGCAGACCTGCAAGCTCTGGCAATGAGAGAAGTCAAAAGAGGATAAAGCTAGCTAGCTGTTCTCTGTATGTGCTGCTGGTAGCACAGTTCTAATGTTGGCTTTAAGTTTGCAGCACTGAAGACCAGGCCTAATCTAATATGTAACGCCCTCATGACAAAGGGTTTATTGTCCAGTCTGTGGTTGGTAATTTGTAAAAAAACCCCAAAAACTAAAACAAAAAAAAACACCAACCAAAAACCCCCCACCAACCCAAGAAAACCTAAACGTCAAGTTCAATTACTTTTGCTTGCCCCCAAACTAAAAATGGAGCTAGAGAAGTGAGATTCACTCAGTAGAGTTAATAAAGTCACTTTCCTGTCTCTTGTGGCTTCGTTTGCAGATGTTCGTATATGGCTATCTAGGAGTAGTTCTGTCTGTGTGCTGTGCATACATGTGTTGCTATCAGCAAAGGCCTAAGAGCGATTTGTCTGCTGTAGGGATGGTCTCAGTTTTTTGTGATAGCAAAAGTAGACTGTGTTTTCTTGATACTATGATGCAAAAGGGAGAGGCTGTATGTAATTGGATTGAGAGAAAGGAGAAAACTAATACAATTCTCTTTTCAGTTGATTTCATGATCTGATTTGACTGTGGGAAATGAAGATTCCTGGTTTTATATTCCCATGGATTTGAAGATCTGATAGGCACCAGCAAAAGGAATTAATTTGTCTTACCCTTGTGGTATTTAGCCAGAGCTGATTCTGCTGATCTAATGTTAAGAGTGTTGATGTAAATTGCTTTGTGTAATTTTTTTTTTTTTTTCAGAAACAGATCTGCATTTGATGCAGTTTTTAGTTGAACATAAACTTAAGTTTCGAGCATGGCAATAAATGTTCCCTTTTTTATAGTTTTTGTACATTTTTAATTGCTTTGTATAACTAGATTCAGTAGAACCATCGTAGCTTTTTAGTGTGGATTACTAGCTTGCAGGAGATTTTAAAATCAAGTAAGATGAAAGTTGCTTATCTGCACATATACATGCAGAGACTGGAATATTGCAGTATTGATTATAAAGATATTTTGAATACATATCCGTTCTGAAAATAACAAGAGTTAGTCACATGTTAATGTCTTTTATATTCTGATCCATTCTACAGATGCAGAATTATTCTGAAACTAGCTTACTGTCTTGCATGTGTAGGCACTGAGAGAACTGTCAAAGCATGGTAACTAATTGGCATATAGATGTTATTTTTGTACTTTTAAAAGGCTTTCTGTTGTGTATATAAAGTTATTTCAGATTTCTTTTGTGCAGATCAGTTTTTTAATCTTGTTATCTTAGGATTTATGACATGAAATGTCAGTGTTCAGCAGTGAGGCTGTGATGAAAAGTGGTATGAAGAAGTTTCATGAAACTACAAATGAGTTGAGGTTTTACGATATTTGCCCCGTCTTACCTTGTACAGAAGCGAAAATGTAGTTTTATACTTAAGCTTTTCAGCGTTGTTTGTACAAAAGACTACAGATACATTTGTTTCAATGGCTTGACATAGTAAATAAAATCCCTCCAAAGGCTATAGGAAACTTTCTAAAGTTCACTTTGCGAAAAATCTTTTACTTTAGTGTCTTGACTTGATGGCCTAGCATCTCAGAAGTGGGTATCTAAGATGTACAGCTGGGAGGCTTGATAGCTTTGGAAATCCACAGTGGGGCTTCTGAATCGGGTAGCACTGACATGTGGTTAAGCTCTCTTCTGAATGGGAAAGCTCTCTTCAACCTGAGCCTTGGTGCCTCAACATGGACAATGGTACTTTTAAGCCTGCGGTCTTGAACTTTGGCCCACAGCTTTTCAGATCTTTGTACTCTTTGCATAAATTGTTGTTGTTTAGGTTAAACCTTGTTGCAAATATGGGAAGTCCTACACTTAAAATCATGAAACTAATAGTTGCCAAAGTGTGGGCTGCCATTAATGCCATGAGCACAGACTCTCTCTGACTGTAGTATTGCTGGAAAGACAAAGCGTATTTTTTTGGATTTTATTATTGTACAGTGGAGAAATAAGGATTCATAAACGAGCTAAATTCTGAAAATGTTCAGCCAGTTAGACTATTAATCTTCACACACTTTTTGAATTTCTTTGCGTGTAATCATTTATAATAAGGCTGAATGTAATGGGGGGGTTTTGTATTCAATAAATGTCTTTCACAAAAATGTCAAATCAATTTTGATGATCTAACATTTGCTTAAATGTATAGTAAAAAATATCTATAAAGAAACGAGGTTGTTGTCTTTATCTTGTAGAAACTATTCAAGCCTGATTCAGCAGGCTTCTCTACTTTAAAGGTACTCTTGCTGAAATGTATGTCCTTGCACCAGGGTAAGATTTTATGTCTTCTATGAGGTTGGTTTGGGGTTTTTGGGGTGGTTTTGGGTGTGTGTTTTTCTCTAAACTATCTTAGCATAAAGAACACTTTTTAAGTTGCAATTAAAAACATAAAAAGTTTCCAAGTCCTGCTTAAAACCCAAAAGCTACTTGTATCAAATTTTGTTGGGTTTTTGGATGGGTTTTTCTACAAATACCTGAACTGTATTGTGTTTTTTATGTAAATATACCAGCCAGCTTTAATTCTGCGGGTCAGGAAGTGTTTTTTAAGATGAGTGACATTTTTTGTAGCGTAAATTCTAAAGAAAACTTACAAAAGGATAGTGTACTTCTATTTATTGTATATACACATTACTTGCCACTTTGGAATTGCATAGATGGAATGGAAGTGAACTCAGCATCCTTCAAATGCTTTGTTTAAATCTCCACTTTGTTTAAATCTCTTAACTACAACTCGGTGTAGTCCTCAACAGAAAAGAAGTGTCTGAGTTGTTTCCTTGCTGATCCATCGGCTGCAGCTGATACAAGATTCCAGTTCTTTCTACAACTGGGGGAAAGGCTTCAAGACAATGCTAAAAGGTAAATAAAATGTCCTGCTTATCCTGATGCTATTGGATTAAACCCACAGCTGATCAGGGCTCTAAATCCTGTACAAAGATGCTCATAAAACCCAGAAACTGGCTAACTGGATAAAAGGTAACTGAACAAAGCGCTCAGACGTATACCTTCCAGATGCTTAAGAGTCCTGAATATTGTATTCTAGAAAAATAGTCCTAACATCTTGATTGCTTACAGCATAATTCCTACAGTCCAGCGTATTGGTTCCTCTATTTAGTTAAGTCTTTGGTATTCAGTATTTTGGCTGGTGACCTGCAAAACCGCACAAATTAACCTGAATGACTTGCTTATGTATAACCAACTGTTCTTATGAGTGAGCATGGCACTTGAGGTAACAAGTGTGTGGGCCCTTTAGGAGAAGGAAGGTGGAGAGGGCTGGAGAGGAAAGGGAAGGGTAGAAGTTTTGAGTGGAGAGAGGTTACATGTCTTTAGGAAAACAGCTGAGTTGGAGTGACGTGGTAACCCATGGTACACTGCTCAGGCATGCCTAACCAAGGTGAAATTAGGAAGATAACTTTCAGAGCCATCCCACTTTTGTCCCGAGGCTCTAGACTAATAGCCTTCTTGGACCTGAGCAGGCTGCTTATAGCATCTGTGTTCTTTCTGCATTATCCTGTCACAAGGCATATGACAAAGCAAGATCTGTGAATGTCTGGGTTTAGATTAGCCACTGCTAAGCTGGACTTAAAAATAACCCTTTTGGAGGCCAGTGCTTAATCTGGACAAATAATGCCCCTGGCAGTCTGCACAGTGATTCCAATAAGGTTTATTAGCTCTGTTGCTGTTTCAGAGAGAGGGCAGCTCATGACTGCTAGTTATTCCTTTTTCCAAATCAGAAAGTTGGCTATAATGAAGTAGCTTCGACTGAGCTAGATGAAAGCATTCCTGAAATGACTTCTGGTCGTGGTTGTTATTTTAGTTCTCGTGGTTTAGGGAGAACTGTGGAAGAATCTGTAAGGCACCAGAATACAGTTTGGAAACTGATTTAGTAAAATCAATGTTTCACTTGCTGAAAAAGTGAAGAAACATCTGGAATGCTGACAAGTGTGATGTTTTCCCTCTGCAATGAAATGTCTCTCCTGCCTTTGAATTTGGAAGTATTTATTAAAGCAAGAGGCTAGAAGTTGTAGGTCTAAAAAAATTTATTCAGATGGACCTTGACTTGCTGGAGAAAGGGGCTGACAGGGACCTTATAAAGGTCCGCAAAAGCAAATGCAGCATGCTGCTTCTGGGGTGGAATAGCCCTGTACAACAGTGCAGGCAGAGACAGACCGGTTTCTGTCTAAGCAGCTTTGCAGAGAAGG